CTTGTTCCATGGTCGGGGGGCGTACAGTCGCGGCCTTGCCAACTCACTGAACCGACCGGAAGCGATGCTCAAAGGTCAAGGGGCTCAGACGGGTCCTGGAGCCCCACCGGGTTGGACTCCTCCACACGCCGCAATCCCTTCTCCTCCATTCTCCTCTCGGGATCTTGGACACACACGCACACGCATCCGACATGAGTTTTATGCCACCAGGTCTGGGACACGAACCGCAGTCAACTACATGGGAGTCCAGTGACATAGCCATTATGCTAACTGCTGGTCCCGATACAATTTATTTTTAATAATTGTTTACTTAAGTTTATTCATTTTTATTATTACCTTAAAATTTGCTATAGGGCACCTGTGCTCACCAGAGAGAGAGAAGGAAAGTGAGAAAGGAAGCTACAAGGTCCGGGACTCAAATAGTAGTTGGCAATGTAGGAGTCCAGCACCTTAACTACCATGCCACCTGCTGCCCCCATACAAGATATAATTTTACCCCGGACTATACTGCCTCTTACAAACTGTTCTTTGCACATTAGCCAGTTGTATCCATGACCTTAATTCCAGTAGAAATTATTATTTGGATTAGTTATATAATGAAAGTTTAAATATGAATGTTGAATTTTCAGTTTGAAGATAAGGAAATTTGAATTAGAAGGATGAGCCAAACTTTTGCGATGTGACTTATAACATGCTCACTACAAATAATCAGGAATGGATCAGATGTAATAAGTCACTGAATCTCCGTATCTGAAAATGTTAGAACAATTATAGTCAGTATAGGACTAACCCCATGGCCAAACAGTTAAGGGAGCCAGATGCTACATGGCCAACTCTGTGGTTTAAATCCTGGCCCTGCTGACTTGTAAAACAAACCAGGTGCACATACTTGCATGCCTAGAGTCCCAGCAGGATGGAGAAATGGAGGAGGAAGAGAAGGCATTGTAGTATGATCACACCCTGTTGGGGACAGAAGGGGCACCTTCTCCCTCTGTTTCTCTCTGATGAACACACATGTCTTTTGGCAAATTGAAAAAAAATTTAGTCTATATAAAACATACTGGTCTTCTACTGGGGTGATCCCATCTGGGGACTAAGTTGTAAAGGAAATAAATATGATCCTTGCCTGGAGAAGAAAGCTTACAGTCAGAGGACACAGAGTAATAGAAAATGGAATACTGGGACCAGCAGGTGGCATGGTAGTTAAGGCGCTGTACTCCCATATGGCCAACTGCGGTTCGAGTCTGAGCTTTCTCTCTCTCTCTTTCTGTCTCTCGTGAGTACACATGCCCTATAGCAAATTTAAAAATAAAAAATAATTCTTTAAAAAATAAAGAAAATGAAATACCACAAACAAAAAGGATTAAATTCTTATGTTCAATAGTAGTCTTTAGAGGAGTAACTTGTATTTGTGTTAACTCTTAGTTTTTTGCCTAATCATTTTGTAAATGAAGTAGGTTTGTTTGTTTATTAAAATGATGTTTGGTGTGGCCAGCAGCTGGCATGGCAGTTACATCGCTGGACTCCCAGATGGCCAACTGCAGTTCAAGTCCTGGACCTGGTGGCTTGAAACTCAAGCCAGATGGATGTGTGTGTGTAACCAAGATCCTAGAAGGAAAATGGGGAAGGGATTGTGGTGTGACCATCTCTCCTGAGGGGAGATTTCTCACTTTCTCACTGTCTCTGCCTCTGTCTCTCTCTGGCAAGTGCATGTACCCTAAGGCAAAAACCTCTAAAAAAGAAGAAATATGTTTGGGGCATTTGCGGGATCAGCCAAAAATTTATAAAAGGGGCAGATGGAAGACTGATATTTTCTGAATTCCTAAGATAGGGCACACGTGTGTTAATGACAAATACACATGACCCCTTTACAGAGATTTTTTGATGAAAGGATAAAATATTTCTGTGATGACTATGATTCTCAGGGATTGGGAAAAAGTTTTTATAAGTTGCTTATTCTTTTTTTTTTTTTTTTTTTTTTTTGAAAGAGAGATTTTTGTTATAGGGTGTCTGCCCTTACCAAAGAGAGAAAAGGCGAGAAATCACCCCCAGGAGAGATGGCCATGCCACAGTTCCTTCTCTCGGGATCTTGTCTACACATGCACTTGTGCCCAATGTGAGTTTTAGGCCACTGGATCTGGGATGCAAACTGCAGTCGACTATGTGGGAGTCCAGTAACATAACCATTATTCCATCTGCTGGTCTCATAAGTTGCGTATTCTGCTCTGCAAATTTCAACCACACATGGACAGCATGATTCTATTTCTTTCTTTCTTTGAGAGATTTTTGCTATAGGGCACATGCACTCGCCAGACACAGAGACAGAAAGCGAGAAACGACCCCCTCAGGGGGATGGCAACACCACAGTCTCTTCTCCATTTGTCTCTTGGGATTTTGAGCACACATGCATATGCGCCAGTGTGAGTTTTAAGCCACAGGCTCTGGGACTCAAACTGTGGTCAACTACATGGAAGTCCAGTCCACTACGCTACCTGCTGGCCCTCCATTGTGATCCCTAAGCAGCCAGGTCCAGGACCCAAATTGTAGTCAGCCATGTGGGAGTCCAGCACCTTAACCACCTTCTAATGCTTCAAAATTGCTGTGACATTAGCAATTAGTATGGGGTATTCCATGGAACTCAAAATGTGCTACTTTTACTAACCAATTATGTATTTTTTGCAATAATTTTTCCTCTGTGTTTCATGTTAGAGCATGTGTGCAAGTGTATCTCGACAGAATGAGAAATAGAAATGCTGGACCCTTCTTCCAACCCGATGTTTCTTGGGCTCTCACATGTGTGTCCTGAGGAATTGAACCACGGGTGCCATGTGGGACCTAACTTCTCTTTAGCAGTACGTTGAGGCTGTGCCACAGAGCCCTCCGCACCCCAGTTACTGTAATTTTAGTCGACATATAGTATGTGTACATATTTATAAGTCATGGTGTGGTTTTTCAGTACATGAGTACATTGTGTAATGATCAAATCAGCACAGCAGACATATCTACCATCTCAAGCATTTATCATTACTTTGTGTTATGATTATGCAAAATCCTCTCTCTAGCTATTTTGAAATATACATTGAATTGTCATCAATTGTGGTTACTCTACTGTGCTACTGTACTCTAAAATTCATTTCACTCATCTGCTTGTACTCATCTGTTAACTAAGTTTCTTTTTTCCCTTTCAACCTCATACCCTTCCCAGCTTCTGGTATTGACTGTTTTACTCCACACGTATTTTTGTTGTTGTTGTTGTTGTTTTTGGTTTTTGGTTTTTTACTCCAAACTTCTTACAGTCAAATCTTTACTACTGATGAGTGAGAATTTATGATATTTGTCTTTTAGTGTGTGGCTCATTTAATTAGCAGTGTTTAAATTAGCTAAGATACGGAATCAATCCCAGTGCCCAACATCAGATGAGTGGATTAAGAAAATAAGCTGCAGGACCAGCAGATGGCTTAATGGTTGCATCATTGGACTCCCACGTAGTCAACTGTGGTTCGAGTCCTGGACCCAGGAGCTTAAACTCATGCTGGGTGCATGTGCATGCGTCCCCAAGATCCCGAAGAGAGTGGAGGAGAAGGGATTGTGGCATGACTATCCCCCCAGGGAATGATTTCTCACTTTCTGCCTCTTTGACTCTGTCTTTCCTGCGAGCACACGAGCCCTATAGCAGAAACATCCCTCAATTAAAAAAAAGGAAAGAAAATAAGGTGCATATACTCAATGCAATGTTGTTCAGCCATTTTTTTTAAAAAAAAAAAGGATGAAATCTAGTCTTTGGTGTCAACTAGTTATACTGGATGAGACTAAAGATGGTGCATTTGAATCATAACGTTTTATAAAGAAATGCTATTTTACTTTGCCTGGAGAAGAAAGCTTACAGTCAGAGGACACAGAGTAATAGAAAATGGAATACTGGGACCAGCAGGTGGCATGGTAGTTAAGGCGCTGTACTCCCATATGGCCAACTGCGGTTCGAGTCTGACCTGGCAGCTTGCTTTCTCATTTTCTCTCTCGTGAGTACACATGCCCTATAGCAAATTTAAAAATAAAAAATAATTCTTTAAAAAATAAAGAAAATGAAATACCACAAACAAAAAGGATTAAATTCTTATGTTCAATAGTAGTCTTTAGAGGAGTAACTTGTATTTGTGTTAACTCTTAGTTTTTTGCCTAATCATTTTGTAAATGAAGTAGGTTTGTTTGTTTATTAAAATGATGTTTGGTGTGGCCAGCAGCTGGCATGGCAGTTACATCGCTGGACTCCCAGATGGCCAACTGCAGTTCAAGTCCTGGACCTGGTGGCTTGAAACTCAAGCCAGATGGATGTGTGTGTGTAACCAAGATCCTAGAAGGAAAATGGGGAAGGGATTGTGGTGTGACCATCTCTCCTGAGGGGAGATTTCTCACTTTCTCACTGTCTCTGCCTCTGTCTCTCTCTGGCAAGTGCATGTACCCTAAGGCAAAAACCTCTAAAAAAGAAGAAATATGTTTGGGGCATTTGCGGGATCAGCCAAAAATTTATAAAAGGGGCAGATGGAAGACTGATATTTTCTGAATTCCTAAGATAGGGCACACGTGTGTTAATGACAAATACACATGACCCCTTTACAGAGATTTTTTGATGAAAGGATAAAATATTTCTGTGATGACTATGATTCTCAGGGATTGGGAAAAAGTTTACATAAGTTGCTTATTCTTTTTTTTTTTTTTTTTTTTTTTTTTTTGAAAGAGAGATTTTTGTTATAGGGTGTCTGCCCTTACCAAAGAGAGAAAAGGCGAGAAATCACCCCCAGGAGAGATGGCCATGCCACAGTTCCTTCTCTCGGGATCTTGTCTACACATGCACTTGTGCCCAATGTGAGTTTTAGGCCACTGGATCTGGGATGCAAACTGCAGTCGACTATGTGGGAGTCCAGTAACATAACCATTATTCCATCTGCTGGTCTCATAAGTTGCGTATTCTGCTCTGCAAATTTCAACCACACATGGACAGCATGATTCTATTTCTTTCTTTCTTTGAGAGATTTTTGCTATAGGGCACATGCACTCGCCAGACACAGAGACAGAAAGCGAGAAACGACCCCCTCAGGGGGATGGCAACACCACAGTCTCTTCTCCATTTGTCTCTTGGGATTTTGAGCACACATGCATATGCGCCAGTGTGAGTTTTAAGCCACAGGCTCTGGGACTCAAACTGTGGTCAACTACATGGAAGTCCAGTCCACTACGCTACCTGCTGGCCCTCCATTGTGATCCCTAAGCAGCCAGGTCCAGGACCCAAATTGTAGTCAGCCATGTGGGAGTCCAGCACCTTAACCACCTTCTAATGCTTCAAAATTGCTGTGACATTAGCAATTAGTATGGGGTATTCCATGGAACTCAAAATGTGCTACTTTTACTAACCAATTATGTATTTTTTGCAATAATTTTTCCTCTGTGTTTCATGTTAGAGCATGTGTGCAAGTGTATCTCGACAGAATGAGAAATAGAAATGCTGGACCCTTCTTCCAACCCGATGTTTCTTGGGCTCTCACATGTGTGTCCTGAGGAATTGAACCACGGGTGCCATGTGGGACCTAACTTCTCTTTAGCAGTACGTTGAGGCTGTGCCACAGAGCCCTCCGCACCCCAGTTACTGTAATTTTAGTCGAAGTATAGTATGTGTACATATTTATAAGTCATGGTGTGGTTTTTCAGTACATGAGTACATTGTGTAATGATCAAATCAGCACAGCAATCTACCATCCCATCTCAAGCATTTATCATTACTTTGTGTTATGATTATGCAAAATCCTCTCTCTAGCTATTTTGAAATATACATTGAATTGTCATCAATTGTGGTTACTCTACTGTGCTACTGTACTCTAAAATTCATTTCACTCATCTGCTTGTACTCATCTGTTAACTAAGTTTCTTTTTTCCCTTTCAACCTCATACCCTTCCCAGCTTCTGGTATTGACTGTTTTACTCCACACGTATTTTTGTTGTTGTTGTTGTTGTTTTTGGTTTTTGGTTTTTTACTCCAAACTTCTTACAGTCAAATCTTTACTACTGATGAGTGAGAATTTATGATATTTGTCTTTTAGTGTGTGGCTCATTTAATTAGCAGTGTTTAAATTAGCTAAGATACGGAATCAATCCCAGTGCCCAACATCAGATGAGTGGATTAAGAAAATAAGCTGCAGGACCAGCAGATGGCTTAATGGTTGCATCATTGGACTCCCACGTAGTCAACTGTGGTTCGAGTCCTGGACCCAGGAGCTTAAACTCATGCTGGGTGCATGTGCATGCGTCCCCAAGATCCCGAAGAGAGTGGAGGAGAAGGGATTGTGGCATGACTATCCCCCCAGGGAATGATTTCTCACTTTCTGCCTCTTTGACTCTGTCTTTCCTGCGAGCACACGAGCCCTATAGCAGAAACATCCCTCAATTAAAAAAAAGGAAAGAAAATAAGGTGCATATACTCAATGCAATGTTGTTCAGCCATTTTTTTTTAAAAAAAAAAGGATGAAATCTAGTCTTTGGTGTCAACTAGTTATACTGGATGAGACTAAAGATGGTGCATTTGAATCATAACGTTTTATAAAGAAATGCTATTTTACTTCTTTTACATATGGTTCACCCAAAGTAGTTAATAGTTACCTATTAACTAGAACTAATTCAAACCTGTTTTAATAAATAATATTGATTTGTTTTGCCAGTCTTTTGAATTAATGTGTAGCCTTACAAAAGCTATTTTCTCTCTTTGTTTAAAGTTGCCATTGCCCCAAATGGAGCCTTACAGTTGGCCAGTCCAGGCACAGATGGAGTACAGGGTCTGCAAACATTGACCATGACAAACTCGGGCAGTACTCAGCAAGGTACAACGATTCTTCAATACGCGCAGACCTCTGATGGACAGCAAATACTTGTGCCCAGCAACCAGGTGGTCGTACAGAGTACGTATGCTTAACTATCTACAGAGAGTGTCCCAAACTGTTTTGAAAGACATTCAAGCAATTAACGCACTCATTTTCACCACACAGCTGCATCGGGAGATATGCAGACCTATCAAATCCGTACCACCCCTTCAGCTACTTCACTGCCACAAACTGTGGTGATGACATCTCCTGTGACTCTTACATCTCAGACAACCAAGACAGATGACCCCCAATTGAAAAGAGAAATAAGATTGATGAAAAACAGGTAGGTAGTAAAAATTCACTGCCAGAATTGGTAATGTCTTTGCAAATCTCAAAACATAGCCAGATGTCAGTTGGAACTGTATTATTAGAAATGAGAGAAGTTTGTATCAGCTTTATTTTATTGAGTGTTAGCTTATGTGTAGTTCATTTCTTTGGATCAGTGAGTCCCACTGTTGTTTCTTTATTTAATCTGACATATGGCCTGGAATTCTTCCCGTTTTGTTGTGTCCTTTGAAATAGCATTGTTAAGCAAAACTTTTCTAGGAACATTATGTTCTTTCTGAGCTCACAGAGTTGAATGAACATAATAATTTGCTGCGACATTGACCAGAGCAAATAAAAAAAAAAGAATGAAAAGAATTTGTGGTATTTTGTATAACCATGTATTATAGTAATGTGCTTAACTGACAGAAGTGCTCTCAGAACTGAGTTTTGACTGTAAAAATGTAGCTTTGGTGTGTGGAGGAGACTAGGAAATGTTACACTGAGTAGTCTGGGGAACTGCATCACATACTATCGTTCATATAATCCCCACACCCATAAACTGAGAATCGGAATTTGAAATTGTCCCCCCATTCACCTGAAAGAAAGTACTCTCAACACAGGTTTCAGTGACTTCTAAAAAATACATGTTTAAAAAGTACATAGCACCCAAGGAATTCCGCTTCCTTGATATGTAATAAGCCTTTATGTAATTTTCACAAAAGTCTTTGAGATGTAAATATTATTTCTACTTTTTTTGAGATGAAGAAACTGAGGCCCAGAGAGTTTTTATTATCTACCCAAAGTTATACTGCTTAGTAAGTGATAAAGGTAAGATTTAAACGCAGTGATCTGGGCTTTAGAGTCTATGGTTTTAGGTAATATTGCACTGCCTTTCAGGAGTACGAGTCAGTACAAAAAGCACCAGTCCTATAGCCTAGTGGCTAAGGGAGCTGGATCGTACATGGCTGACCACAGTTTGAATCCCAAGCCCAGCAGCTTGAAATACATGCCAGGTGTGTGTGTGCGCGAATGTGCCCCAAATCTTGACAGGATGGAGAAATAGAAGAAGGGGGGGATTGTAGGGTCACCACACCCCAGTGGGAAGTGCTTTCACCCCCTCTCTACAGGGGCCAGCAGGTGGTACAGTACTGGTTAAGGTGCTGAACTCCCACATGGCCGACCACAGTTTGAGTCCTAAACGTGGCGACTTTCTTTCTTTTTCTTTTTTGGAGAGGTTTTTGCTATAGGGTGCGTGCGCTCGCCAGAGAGAGAGAGAGAGAGACAGAAAGCGAGAAATCACCCCCCAGGGGGTATGGCCACGCCGTAATCCCTTCTCCATTCTTCTCTCGGGATCCTGGGCACGCACGCATGCACACACGCATGCACACCCGGTGTGAGTTTAAGCCACCGGGTCCAGCACTCGAACCACAGTCAACTACGTGGGAATCCAGTGACATAGCCATTATGCTAACTGCTGGTCCCCTGGCTTGCCTTCTCACTTTCCTTTTCTCTCTCTCTCTAATCCAATTTAATAATAATAACAACAAATAAAATAAAAATAAATAATTTTAAAAATAAAAGCACAAAAAAACAGAATGAATTTTGTAAAGTTTTCTGTTATGAGAAATGGGAAAGAAGCATGCCTAGTAAATTTACAGAAAAAAAGATATAATTTGATCAGGGATTACGGGACTGAAGTAAATAAAAATTGGAAGGGACATATAAAACTCATTATTAGCAAAGATGTATCCATCTGCCTAAAATACCCATGAAAATAAACTACCAGCTAATTGAAATATTATAAAGAATCGCTTCTCTAACATTGTATTAGAAGCCTCTACTGGTTTAGTTAAAAAAAAAAAAAAAAGAAAGAAAGAAATTAGAAGTGGTATTTTTAAAAAGTGAACAAGTCAATCTATAAAATCACTCTATAGAAAATTATTATAAGTGATGAGTTTATGAGGTTTTTAGATACAAAATCAGTTCTCAAAAATCAATGGTATTTCTTGGGACCAGCAGATGGCATAGCAGTTATGTCACTGGATTCCCTCATGGCTGACCCTGGTTCGAGTCCCGGACCCAGTGGCTTCAAAATCATGGTGGGCATGTGTGTGTGTGTGCCCAAGATCCCGGGAGGAGAATGAAGGAAAAGGGTTTGGGGTTGACATCTCACTTTTCCTCTCACTGTCTCTTTCTCTCACTCTCTCTGGCAAATGCATGTGCCCTAAGGCAAAATCCTTTAAAAAGGATTAATTAAAAAAATAAATTGTATTTATTTATATCATCAATAAGGCATTTGGAAAAATAATTATTAATGGGAACCAGCAGTTAGTGTAATGGCTATGTCGCTGGACTCCCACATAGTCGACCGCAGTTCGCGTCCCGGACCCGGTGGCTTTCTGTCTCTTTGTCTCTCTCTGTCTGTCTGGCGAGCACACGTGCCCTATAGTGAAAACCTCTCCCCCAAAAAAGAAGAAAAATAATTATTAAAAAGATACACTTATGTTGTCTACAATAAATAAAAATACCTGATTATAAATCTAACAAAAGATGTTTGGGGCCTTTATGGACAACTTACTAAAACATTTTTAAAGACATTAAGGGGGACCAGCAGGTGGCATAATGATTATGTGACTGGACTCCCATGTAGCCCACTGCAGTTTTAGTTCTAGATGCAACGATTTAAACTAACTAACGCCAGGCCCATGAGCGTGTGTGCTTAAGATCCCAAGAGGAGAATGGAGGAGAAGGGATTGTGGTGTGGCTATGCCCCCCCCCCCAGGGGGGGGATTTCTGGCTTTCTGTCTTTCTGGCAAAAGTACACACCCTAGGGAACCAGCAGTTAGCATAATGGCTATGTCACTGGACTCCCACGTAGTCGACCGTGGTTCACGTCCCAGACCCGGTGGCTTAAAACTCACGCCAGGCGCGTGTGCGTGCGTGCCCAAGATCCCAAGAGGAGAATGGAGGAGAAGAGATTGCGGCGTGGCCATCCCCCCTGGGGGGTGATTTCTCGCTTTCTGTCTCTATGTCTCTCTCTGTCTGTCTGGCAAGCGCACGCGCCCTATAGCAAAAATCTCTCAAAAAAAAAAAAAAAAAGTACACACCCTATAGCTGTCCTCTATGGAGATGCTTTCTCACATTCTCCCTGCCCGCCCTTGTCTCTTTCAGGTACACACACCCTATAGCAAACTTTAAAACAAAAAATATTAATTGACCTAGTAATTAAGGAAATTAATGAGATGGGAGATAGGAAAAATTTTAAAATAATAATACTGTCACTGTACATGTAACTAGGCACTTTATATATGAAATTTTATATGGTACATACTCTTTCTCTTTTTTTAGAATTATTTAACTTTATTTACTTATTTATTTATTTATTTTAATTTGACCAGAGAGGGACAAAGCAAGAGACAGAGAGAGAGAGAAATTAAGAAAGCAAGTTGCTGGGTCTAGGATATGAACCACAGTTGGCCATGTGGGAGTCCAGTGCTTAGACCACCACACCACCTACTGGCCCCTATAGTACATACTCCTTTTTTTTTCTTCTTCTTCTTCTTCTTCTTTTTTTTTTGGAGAGGTTTTTGCTACAGGGTGCGTGCGCTTGCCAGACAGAGACAGACAGAGAGACAGAAAGCCAGAAATCATCCCCCAGGGGGCATGGCCACGCCGCAATCCAGCACCTTTTACCACCACACCATCCACCAGCCCCCTCCATAAATTTCACTGCGGTACTTATTCCAAAGAAATGAAACATACGTCTGCAGAAAGGCTGGCACAAAGACATGCTTAGCAGCTAAATTAGAAGCCAGCGAATGGATAAAACTCTTGTGAAATTCATACATTGGAATAAGCTTAGCAGAAGAACAAACCACCAGGCAGTGACATAGATGAGCCTTAAACAGGGCTGACAAGGGGAGCAACTGAGGCTATTAGAAACAGTGTGGGAGGCGGGACCAAAACATTTAATGCACACACACACAACGTTTGAGTGGAAGGAGACCAAACGAGCATATGCTATATGATGATGTTATACTATGGGGTTGTCAGAAAAGTCGTGATGCATTTTTACGTACAAAAGTGTCTAGTACATAACGTTCTAGAATAGGAGAAACTAATCTGTAGTGATAAAAACCTCAACAACTGCCTGGGAGAGGGCTGCCTAGGAGTGAACACAGGGCAACTTCTTGGGGAGTGGAGATGTGTTATGTCCTGACGGGTGTGGGTTACATGGGTATGTCCGTTTGCCAAAACAGATTCCATTCTACACTTAGGGCCTCTGTATACAGGTGATGCTGTAACTTTTAAAAATAAACAATGGCTAGAGAAAATGATTGAAAAATATTCACCATGAAAAGAATTTGAAATTTCTTCTAACATTTTTTTTTTAATGATTATATTTAGAGAAGCTGCTCGAGAATGTCGCAGAAAAAAGAAAGAATATGTGAAATGCCTGGAAAATCGAGTTGCAGTCCTGGAAAATCAAAATAAAACTCTAATAGAAGAACTGAAAACTTTGAAGGACCTTTATTCCCATAAAAGTGTTTGATTCTTAAGAAAGATATTTTTGCAGACTTGCATAAAAATTAGATTTCTTTTTAGTGGAGTTTTATAAATTAAAAGGTCAAAAGTGAAGCTTTTTACTTAGGCTTTTGCAACTCACAGATATGCAAGAGATCTGGTGACAGGATGAAGTGGAAAATTACCTTGAAGACGCTACTGGTACAACTGGAAGCTTTATAAAAATTGAAAATATTCAAGGAGGAGGAAATGAACTTGAATTTTCTAAATAACAATAGTTGTCAATCCAAAAACAGCAAATAAGAGGAAATTTGGTAAATTGAGTTTTTTAAAATAATTCAGTTTACCTTATGTTTGCATTTCTCACTGTTTCCTGAAATTTACCTTTTTCAGTTGTGTGTGTGTGTATTTTATTTCTGCCAATAAATTCTAAAATGACAAATGTAAAAACTAATACATTACTAAATATCTAAATTATGTGTTCTGATTATGTATACTTGTTCTATTGTCAGACCTTTTAAATGGATTTTCAGAACTTTATTTGTTGGACTTGAGAGGATTTTGAAACTGTGTTCATTATTTTTGAGGTCTTGTCCTAAAAGGCATCTAAGGTACATGAGTGGAATGTAGTGATTTGTAACATTTTTTTATGAGAATGAAAAGAAAGCTATATAAAAGTATCAAACTTTTAAATAGTTTTTGTTGCTTACTCTGGTAATGGTGATTTTCTACAAATGTATAATAAACTTTTGATTCTATATTCTGTATGCAATTAAATATCCATCGCTTACTCTGTTCTGCTTTAATAGAATGGAATGTTTACAGGCCCTTAAAATATTTTTTGAAAACCTTTAAGATGCATACCAAAGTTTTTCCAAGAGGATTTTATAATCAATTTAAATGTAAGGTTTATCAGATTTAAAAATAGTACAGTTATTAAGGCAACCCTATGTTAGAGACTATTTTGTAATGTAGTGAATGGTACCTTTATAAGAAAAGTGACTGCCAATATATTTTTATAGCTAATCTTTATAAATTCTAATGTTGAGTTTTTAATGATTATTTTAAATGTTTATACAGTTTGTTTAGTAAAAAAAATTTACATCTCAAAGTATCATTTTTATATAATGGGAAGTAAAGTTTTAGATTGGCTAATATTTGAACTGTAAGTTTTATATGCAGTTTTATCAAAAGTTTGAAAATGCTGTCAGTACAAGTGTTTAACCTCTGTATTTTCATTTGTATACAATTTGAAACTGTACTGCAAAACTATTGTGTACTTCTTATACAATATGTATCATATTATTGTCTATGAAATTAAAGGATATTTGATAAAATTAGGTTTGCTGAATATAAAATGCAGTGCTGATATGTGAATGGCAGGCTTGCTGGTAACCATGCTGTTCATTACTGTACTAAGTATAGTGCACTCCTACTTTTAAAATGAAGATATGTTTACACTTCTCTATATAATCTTTTCCCTTTTTTAAAGTTTTTACCATAAGGCACATGCCAGAGAGAAATGGGGGACAGGAGGGGCTCTCCCCCAGGGGAATGGCCAAATGGCAGTCCCTTCTCGTCACACACGCATGCTTGTCCTCTCTCAGGTCACCAGGTCTGAGACTCCAGCTGCTCAGCCAGCCATGTGAGATCTGGCTACCCCAACCATACTGCCACAGACTGGCTCTCTACAACCTATTTTAAAAGGGGATATATTTACCTCTTGATTCAGTCAGAACCAATTATTATATACTAAGCTAATTTTTTTGTTCCACAAAGACATGGGTAAGGAGTCATTGTTATATAGAATTATATAGAAGTTTTTACCTAACTGAAATTTGTGACTGATCCTCCTGATGAATTTAAAAAGATTTTTTTTTAAAGTTTGATCATACCCAGAGATTATTTTTATCACTTTTACAATCTTGTATTAAACCAGAATCTGAAACTGGTAGCACATTAGGCCTAAGATGAGGCGGTATGGGGTCTCTGGGTTATAGCAAGAGAGAGTTATATCAAACTGTATATTGGATATGTGTTGTGCTTGCTAACAGGAACAGTCTAGGTCCTGGGTTTTGTCTAACATTTTTGCCATCGGGTGAGCACTCTCATGGGGTGGCAGTGAGAAATCACTCGGCAGGGGGGGTGTCACGCTGCGATCCCTTCTCCATTCTCCCTTGGGATTTTGGGCATGCGTGCACATGCACTTAGCGTGTTTTTCACACCTTTGGGTCTGAAATAGCAGAGTCAGCCATGTGGAATCCAGGCCTTAACCACCATGCTACCTGTTGGCCCCACTCAGTGCTTTAACAGCTGGACATCTGCAAATATCTAAATTCTCTGCTGCCTGCAGACTTCTAGTGTAGGAGTCTGCTCACTAGAGCACACTTGTTACCGACAACTCGATTGAAGAATTCCATAAATTTAACAGTTCTATAAATGCATGCCAAAGTATTATCCTGGATGTGTTTCTAATTGGAAAATGGGGGCTGCCTATCAAAGTTTTAAGTCCAAACATAAATTAGAATTCAGTAATGCATTAGACCAATTATTTCCTCACCTCAGTTAACACCAGAGAAAGTGAGAAAGCAAGCTGCCAGTCTGGCACTTCACTGCAGTTAGCCATGTGGGTGGGAGTCTAGTGCTTTACCTACTATACCACCTGCTGGCTCAGGAACTTAGCTCTTTTTTTTTCTTTTTGAGAGGTTTTTGCTATAGGGCGGGAGCACTCGCCAGACAGAGAGAGAGAGAAAGTGAGAAATCACCCCCCAGGGGGGATGGTCACACCGCAATCCCGTCTCCATTCTCTCGGGATCTTGGGCACACACGCACACACGCCTGGCGTGAGTTTAAGCCACTGGGTCTGGGACTCGAACTGCAGTCGACTACGTGGGAGTCCGGTGACATAGCCATTACACTAACTGCTGGTCCCTGAACTTAGCTCTTAATATCACCCTGTGATCAATACTTGCCTAAGGTTACATGAGCATTAAGTGGGGACCTATGATTTCAGCTAATCTAAATCTCTTAACAGCTTAATTAACCTCCAGAAGGAAATTCCTTCATGCCCTTCTGTTATCTCCGCAGTCCAGAACTGTGGCCCACAATCCTCTGTGGTCCAGTCTAGTTCACAGTAATGCCTTGTGATATTCCACGAATGAAGGTCTGAGTTCAAGATCACTAAGGTACAGGGACCAGCAGTTAGCATAATGCTATGTTGCTGGACTCCCACGTAGTCGACTGCAGTTTGAGTCCCGGATCCTGCAGCTTAAACCCACACCAGGCATGTGTACATGCGTGCCCAAGATCCTGAGAGGAGAATGGAGGAGAAGGGATTGCAGCATGGCCATCACCCCCAGGGGGTGATTTCTCGCTTTCTGCCTCTGTCTCTGGCTGGCTGGCCAGCGCACGTGCCCTATAGCAAAAACCTCTCAAAAACCGCGTGCCCTATAGCAAAAAACCCTCAAAAAAAAAAAAAAAAAAAAAGACCCTCCTCTTAAAAAGATCACTAAGGGTGCTCGCTTCGGCAGCACATATACTAAAAAAAGATGACTAAGGTACAGAGAGGTTTGATACTTTGCACAGGGTCACACAGTAACAAAACTAGGGTTCAGACCTATGTCTGATCAACTCTGAAGTTTGTGGGTTTTCTTTTTTGGTTTTTTTTTTTTTTAGTTTGCCAGAGGGCACTTGCCAGAGACAGGGAGGAGGAGAAAGCACCTTCCCCCTCCAGCCCCCATGCTTATCAGAAATTTCTTAATTTTTTCATCCTATCAGGATTCTGGGCACCCATACAGGTGCCCAGTGTGTTTTTCAGGCAGCTGGAGCCAAGATTTGAACACCACCAGTCATGTAGGATCTGGCTGCCTTCACCACCACGCCACAGAAACAGCCCTGACATTTGTGGTCTTAGGCATCAGAGTGTGCGACGTAACCTGTGAAGCTGAAGAATCTGAAAAGCTTTGTTCATTGCAACTCACACACCTATTATGAGTTTAAATAATCTATTTACAAGTGTCCACTAGATGGCAACATTGCCTTCCAAAAACCACAGATCTACAAATTAGTTTTTTAAATTTTTGCCGTATTGTACATGGGGTAGCCAGAAAGAGACAGAGAGAAGGAAAGTGAGAAATTAGCCCCTGGAGGGACGGCCTTGTGCAATCTCTTCTCCATTGTCCTCAGGATTTATGGCACACCAGCATGATTTAGTTTTATAACTTTCTAAAAATAAATATGTAAGAAACTATACAATAAATCTTTGTACACCCATCATCCAGAATAAATGGGTTTTTTGGTTTGTTTTTTTAAGTTTTTGCCATACGGCAAATCCCTTCTCCATTCATTTCTCGGGATTTTGGTCCCACATGCACACATGCCCAGCATGATTTTTAAGCCACCAGGTCCAGGAGTTAAACCATGGTTGACCACATGGGAGTCCAGCACCTTAAAAAATCCTTCTCTCTGTCTCTCTCTGGTAAACTTAAAAAAAAAGTTAAATAATGAAAATGAATAAAAAATTAAATATATATTTTTTTAATTTCAAAAACCAGGCCCATGCTTGATGACATAAGTGGTAGGATGTTGCTGTAGGCGCAGTTTCAGTTTCTGGACCAACCTGAACAGGCCAGATGCAATAGCATGCACTTGCCATCCTTTCTGGCTGGAAGGCTGAAGCAGGAGGATTGTGTTACGGCAAGATCTTGTCAAAAATGCTCCCTCTCTCCTCTTTCTTCTTTCTCTCTCACTCTCTCACTAAAACAAATATGGAAAAAAAAAAAACATGGAACAAACACTTAAGCTAAGTTTACAAAGTACTAAACAAAAACCGCCTTAACTAGTGAGAATTTTTTTTTTAAAGAAATTTTTACTACAGGACACGTGCACTCGCCAGAGAGACAGAAATCAAGAAATCACCCCTCGGGGGATGGCCATGCTGCAATCCCTTCTCCCATCTACTCTCAGGATATGGACAAGCATGTGTGAGTTTCAAGCTGTCGGATCTGGGACTCGAACTGTGATTGGCCATGTGAGAGTCCAGCAATGTAACCATTATACCATCTGCTGGTCCCACTAATAAGCAATTTTTAATAAAGGAAAAAGAGGGCAGTCCTGTACCATAGTGATTAATTGCTGTGTGTGGGGAGCTGGAGCAGCTCGAATCCTGGCCCTGCAGCTTTAAAATCATGCCAGGTGTGTGTGTGTGTACATGCTGAAAATCCTGATGGGATGGAGAAGTGGAAAAGAAGGGATGTGGCAGGACCACACTCCACGGTTGGGGGGGGAGTTGCGGGGATCCTTTTTCTCTCTCTGGCAAGTGTACACACCCTCTAGCAATTACTGGGTTGTTAGGTAACTCACAACATGTTTTTCTTTTTTTTTTTCTTTTCTTTACTTCTTTATTTTTTTGAGAGGTTTTTGCTATAGGGCATGTGTGCTCACCAGAAAGACAGAAAGACAGGGAGAAATCACCCCCCACCTCCCACCAGGGGGGATGGCCACGCCGCAATCCCTTCTCCTCCGTTCTCTACTCAGGATTTTGGGCACGCACACACACACACACACCCAGCGTGAGTTTAAGCTACTGGATCTGGGCCTTGACCCGCCGTCAACTACATGGGAGTCCAGTGACATAGCCATTACGCCATCTGCTGGTCCCAATGACATGTTTTTCTATGCAAAAAGGTATCGTGCCTTTTCTGACAACCCAATAAAACAGAAAAAGAGAAAATGCCTCATCACTTCTTTGTCCACTGCCTGTTGCAATCACAGATAATCCAATAAATATATATATATTTTTAATTAGAAACTGCTCATTCTGGCAGTTAGGCCCACTGGCTGCTGCCCTAGTGAGGGGACAGAGAGATGGCAGATGGGGCTGTGGGCAGAGATAAGTGCAGGGAGCCATAGCTCATCTCACTGCCCCTGTCCCACACCCGGGTCATCATGAAGAGCTCCCCCGCGGTGTCCAGCATCAACCAGGAGGTGCTGGTGCTCACGGCCAAGGCCATGCAATGCTGTGTCCAGTATCTCGCCACTTATTCCTACAGACACGGCCGTGGAAAAGGAAAGGAAAGCACTGACTTACAGCGGTGATCTAGCAAATACTGATGAGGGGTCAGAAGCCTTCTCATTTCTTGCAGAGCCAAAGAAGATTCTAGCTTAATGAAGAGAAGAGGGAAGACGAGAATGACGATGACGAAGGCAATGATGACGAAGCCGAATCTTAAACTAGGGAAGTGCTTAGGAATAGGCCTGTGACGCCCTCCTGGATGGCTGTAGGCTTTGGATAAGCACAACTCTGTGCCCCTGGCCTGGGTCCCTCTCCTTTTTAGACTTC